TCTCTGTTCATGCTAACATCGGTGCTGATGTAATTGCTGATTAATTCAGTCAGTTCTGCTAAATTTCTTGTTATTAATGTCTTTTTATTAGGCTATTTATACATTTCAAAACCTTGCCCACTGTCAATCTGTACAGAATGTGTAAGCGCTCTTCTGTGTTTTGATGATGATTTGATGGCGCAGGAGCATCACAGACATTGATTTTAAAATCAGTATCTGATTACAAACAAACCTGATTATGCTTACGGCCATCTCGTTACGTCATGGCACTATCCGAAAACTTGATCAAGTCATAAGAAAAGCAGAAGGTATTAGACATCTTGAGGCAGAATGCCTGCATTTAGTTGTGTTTTGTTAAACCGACTCCTTACTCAGCAATGCAAAGTTAGAAATGAGCCTAAATAAAAACATTTATATGTCATTTAAAAAAAAAAAAAAAAAAAGTATGTGTTTTCTTAATGTAAAGATTTCAAAGTATGATACTGGCAGAAAAACTGAATGCTGGTCAAAACACAATTTTTCATCCTTTTGGCTGTTTCAGTCAAATTTGGCTGAATCCAGTCGCAGCGATATCCGATGGGTTTTCCCAGGCCGCCACACACATAATTATGCCTATGGCAAAAGCTTTTATCCCAAGCTGCTTAGTGCTGCTTGTAAAGGGTTTGTAAAGTAATAAATTCTGCACATTAGGTTTCACTCAAGTGACCAGAAACAAGTGATAGAAAAGAGAGATGTCTGAAAATGAGGATTGGAGTACATACTAGTACTCAGGAGTGCTATACTCGTCAGAAACCAGTTGGTAAGACTATGAATAAGACCCAAGCTGAATATAGCAGTCATTATGGCATACCACAGTGACATGCAACTACAACAGCCATCCTGTTGCTACATTTACTGTACACATAGAGGTAAAGTTGAGTAACACACAGCAAATAGAGAAGTTCTGAAAAAACACCTACAGTCCAGAACACAAGGAAGGTGCATCTGATGTGTGGAATAAACACAGGCAGTTAGTGGGTTAACTTTTGGCTTGTGCGGTGCTTTTTAGGAAAAAGGAGGCAGAGCTCTAGGGTTAATTTCAGGAAGGGAAAAACATATACAAAAGTCAATGAAATCCAACGCAAGGTGGTACTGTGCATGTGTCACAGTGCCTTTGAAATTCCATGATTATTACTGGATATATATTATTGAAGCATTCAAATGTTTATATTGTATTAATGTAGCTTTTTTTAATTCATTTATAATTGTTCTGTAAAGCGAAGGGTAAATTTGTAACTAAAGTCTGTGTTCAAAACACTAGTGTTTGATAGAAGAGTTCTTACTTGGAACAGATGTCAAGAAAACTAATGGAACAAACAAGGAAGTGTGCATAAAAAAACATCGGAAAAAATATAGTCGCTTGAAAATACGAATGAGAGAACGTAATTACTTTGAGTAATTGTAGCCTATTCAGTAGCCAGATAATAGCCTACTAGCTACATGGCTAATCAGTAATTGGTGCATAAGATAAATAAACACACTCGGCTAAGGGGCACTGAACAAACATTGCTGATAATGTTGGAGCTTAAACTTTATTTCATTTCACAATCATTTGAAGGTTATGTTAATAACCTTAATAATAAACCTGTTAATCAGGTCACTGCGCAGTCAATTATCAATGTTAAAGCCGTGTACTATGGGTAATAAACAAAATCTTTCAAAGTCTTTCATTGCTTAAGACTAAACAGTATGGCCACTCAATAATGATTTCTATCAATAAATTTCACAAGGGTTTGATATTTGATGCTTTCATAGACATAAGCCTTCAGAGGTCCCATCAATCCTATGGGTCTCAGACCCTTTCCCTTTCTTTTCGAAGATATTTTCAGCGATATTGATTGACAAGGTGACTTTAAACTTACAACACTGTTACCCAAATTATAGGCTGAAAGCAGATTATTACTGTTAAAAAATATTTTAAGTAAATCTATGGAAAGTCCTTCAGGTATTCATGCCGTTAGCATGGATGGTAGTTAACTACATTTTAAAATTCAATGCTAAAAATAACTCAACTCTGTCACTCATTTAACAGCAAAATACATCCATTGAGAGCAAAGCCACTTTGGAAAAATGAGATATTATTACCGGAGATGGTTTGTTGGATGGTTAAATGCATGTCTTCAATGTTTCAATTATTGAAAAAAAACTTAAGTTTAATTTTTAAGAGTTACAAGGGATAAATGGCACCCCAACTATAGAACCATCCTTAATACAATTAGGTTTGAAAAGAGCCAAATTCTAAACTGGTACAAATGACCAAATTATGTAGTTGTGTCATCTTTGGTTTGTACATCTGCTCGAGCTCTGTTTAGTGAAAACCAAAGCAAGGGCAACTCACATCAAGTTTCTTCAGATCATGGGTTCCCAATTTTTTTTTTTTTTGCCACTCCTTCAACCTGAATTACTTGCCTCACATACCTTAAGAGACTTCAAGTAAGCTAGTGAAACTTTTGCAATAAATGGCAAAACGTGTTATTTACGTCACTCTGTTATACCTAACAGTGGTATTACTGTATAATCATTACTAATACACATCCACTTCATTCACTACTGCTCCTCATGATTTCAGTCCATCTGTACGACTGCAACCTTATGCAAACTTCCGCATGTACACTTGGGCTAAATTTGAGTATTCATGCACATTTTTTGTATGTGTTGTTCTGTTTTGTCTCATCCTGCATTTATTATTTAGTTTGCTGCATTGTGTTGATTGTTGAGGCGAACCCAATCACCACCAACACTGTTGTGTGACATTGACATTTCTATCAGTCTGGCAATGCCACCATGGGTCAGTGGGATGAAAGATAGCACCTCCAGGAGCATGCAGCAGTATAATACATGATGCATGATGCATGATGCATGGTCCATCTATAGAAAGTGCAAGCAGTACGAGTTGTCAAGAGCAATGCACCAAATTATAATTTTAGGCACAGCATGTACAGCATTGCTCAGCAGGTGTAGCTGCAAAGCTGAGCAGACTTCATGTGCAAATAGCTTGGAGGTAGCCAGTAAAGCGCTCGTGCTTTGCTCCTCACGCTTAGGATATTAAATTCAGTGCAGGATCACGACTCAACCATATGAGCTGCGTGACTGCAGAAGAAAGCACGTCGACTAGGGGGGAAAAAACTCTTATCTGTGCTCACCTGGACCTCAAGAAACACCTCATTCACCACTACAGTCATGCATGTGCTGTGCATTAAAAGGATAATAAAAGGGAATTCTCACGAGCGCTTGCATCTGCAAACTTGCATTACTACATTACAGAATTCTGCTCTGTATCTCGACATATCATTCCTGCAGCTTGCTAAAATCCAGCCGCATGATCAGTGACTACATTGTGTCCCAGCACTTATTTCCGTGTAGCCTGTAGCTCGCGCATTACTGCATTAACCTACTAATGAAGAATCCATACCCATAAACTCAGTCAGAAATCATACCCTGAGTCTAAACACCGACCTGTAGAGCCAGACGGCGCTCCTGCGGTCCTCTCTGTGGTCCTCTCTGTGTTCCTCATGTAGACCCACTCACTGGATTTAAGCCTTTAACTTGCTGACTCTTTACACAGGACCTGGTCAGCGAGCACGCGCTTTCTGACCGAGTGCGCGTCCTCGCTCACTTCAAGGTAACTAGCGTCCATTACAGGAGGAGCTTAGTCCCAGTCTGGCTGAGTCCCAATAAACACAAAAAACCTGAAGTGGTGTTTTTTTCTCTCCCACACACTAACAGTACATTTACTTATTTGCTACATTATGTAATATAGTGGCATTGTTTGTTTGTTTGTTTGTTTGTTTGTTTTGTGGTTGGTTGGTTTAGCTGGCTTTCCTCAGAAATCTGTCATCAAAAAATTCCAGCATTAAAACTTTACTGCAGCTACATGCTAACTGCTATTTCAATGCGTGGCTGTAAATAGCTAGGGAAAAAAGTCCCTGTTGCTATTTTGACTACTTAAAATTTCACTTATAGATATTTATAGTGACATATTGACTCGTAGAAATACAGCTTACAACTAATGTGTAAGATATCCTTAGCTGTAGGTGTCTAAAATCCTGTTTTAGATGTGTAAAATTGTTTATGCTAGTCACAGTACAAGTATGTAGACTATTCAGTAGCTAGACAATAGGGAACTAGCTAATTAGCTAATCAGTGACTGGTGCATAAGATAAATAAACATACTCTACACAGCTACTTTATGTTGCTGATAATGTTAAAGATTCAATATTATTTCATTTCACAATCATGTGAATGGTACATCAGTATACCAGGACACTGTGCAATTATTTATCTATGTTAAAGCAGTGTACTATGGGTAATGCACAAAGTCTCAAAGTCTCTCATTCCACAAGACTAAACAGTATGGGCACTCAATAATAATGTCTATCAAAAAAGCTTTACAAGGGTTTGATATGGCCAAAGTATGTGGACACCTGAGCATCATACCCATACTCATATGTGGACCTGCCACAAAGTTTGAAGCACACAATTGTATAGAATGTCTTTGTATGCTGTAGCATTGTAATTTTCCTTCACTGCAACTATGAGGCCTAAAGCTGTTTCAGCATGACAATGCCCCTGTGCACAAAGCGAGCTCCATGAAGACATGATGTGTTAAGGTTGGAGTGGAAGAACTCGAGTGTCCTGCACAGAGCCCTGACCTTAACCCCACTGAACACCTTTAGGATGAACTGGAACACCGACTGCACCCCAGACCTCCTCACCCAACATCAGTGCCTGACCTCGCTAATGCTCTTTTGGCAGAATGGACAAATCCTCACAGCCATGCTCCAAAATCTAGTGGAAAGCCTTCCCAGAAGAGTGGGAGAGAGAGTTATTATAACAGCAAAGTGGGGACCAAGTCCATATTAATGCCCATGGTTTTGGAATGGGATGTTCAAAGACAGATTGGGGTGTGATGATCAGGTGTCCACAAACTTTTGGCCATATAATGTATCTACAGTTAGGGGTCCTTGAAGGATTAGTGGTTAGGCCACAGTGCTCTCACCTCTGCGGCTGGGTTCAATTCCTGGCCAGGGACCCGAACCCAGCCACTGGGGTTGCATGCAACAGTGCGCTCTCAGTGCCGGTCCCAACCCCAGATAAAAGTGGGGAGGGTTGTGTCAGAAACTGTGCCAAATCAAATACGCTGACCGATGATCCGCAGTGTCGACCCCTAACGGGAGCAGCCAAAAGAGGAACAACAACAACAATGTATCTACAGTTAAAGTTATGACTAGTCCTCAATGCTTTACAGATATAGATTTAGGTCATTTTAACATCACCTAAGAAATCCAGTTTAACCTGGTGCTAGCTAATAGCATGTGAATATCACAATTAATACTCTTTCTTGTACAATATTCTACATTGTATACTATACTGATTGTATATACTAAAATGGCTTTACAGTAAAAAACTAACTTCATTCTCTGTGTATAGCTTTCACTTTTATTTATGCTGTCATAGCTAAAGACCTGCCAGGGTCACCGGTTGATCACAATGTACACCCTTTTAAACCACTGTACGATAAAAGCATACCTAATAAGCTGTCTCTCTCTGTCTCTCTGTCAAGATGTTCATGCACTCCTGCCCTCTGATGCGATGCAGATGCCTGATCCTGACACACTTCTACTGCTGTGGTTTCTCCCTCCATCTGGACCTGCCTGATTCATCCTGATACTCTACTTCTGCTTGGAGCTTCTGCACTTTACCTCACCTTCAGTTGCTATGGATGGTTCTGTATGGATACTACAAAGATTTTCACTTCCCAAAAACAGTTTGTGCCTAACAGTTACTTTTGATTTGGTGGATAATCTCTCTTGGATACTGTAGATCTGTATCTAAATGATGCTGCTGTTATCATAAAGACTTTCCTCTGCTTATCCCAGGACTCACAATATGGTCATAGTGAACATCCTTTCAACACAATGCTGTTTGCCTTTACTCTTATACATGCCACTCGTGTAATCCCACAATCTGGTGTCACCCAGAAGAGGATGGGTTCCCTTTCTGAGTCGAGTTCCCCTCAGGCTTCCTTCCTCATGCCTTCTCAGGGGTTTTTTCCTTGCCACTGTTGCATGTAGCTTGCTCAGTAGAGATCTAAACCTACATCCAGATTGCTGTAAAGCTGCTTTGTGACAGTATAATAAAAAATGTTATGATTATATAGATAATTACATTGCCAACCCCCAAGTATTATCTAAGTCAACTAAACACTGGTATTTTGACAGATATAATTTAACTCAGGCACCAGTTTTGTCTCTGATTGACAGTAAGACGAGAGGCTATAATGTAGAATTTAATATTATCACAATAGAGAAAAATGAATAATACACTCGACTCCAGACTTATGTGCCCATGAAATATCAATAAAGCATCAATACAGCGACATTTTCTAATGAAAGGAAATCATTTTCATCAATACTATCATAAAAAAAAAAAGATACGTGCTTTAATGGAGAGCATACAAACTCTTGTTCAATACCGGAATATGAATATTAATGTGATACTGAATTATGTGACGTACATGTCGAATGAATTATTTTTTCCTCCACAAAATGCTTGTTGGAAAATGCAATACTATTTTAATGTCTATTATTAATTTATGGATCATGTTTAATGTGTAATTTAGGAAAAATGACTAATAATTGAAAAACAGTATGCTATAAATGAAATGCATTTATTCAGTACCATTTTTACACATCAAGCAAAAAGGTTTATTTGGTAAAAACAAACAAACAAACAAACAAAAAAGAAAAGAAAAGTAGCAGACTGAATGTAGAACATGCCATCTTGTATATTCAAATGTAGATATTTTGCTTTGGATAGCATTAGAACATTAAAATTCATCCTGACTGTCCTGAGTGACTCTTACATAGAAAAATAGTCTAGAAACAGAGAGAATAGAGGGTTTTCTTTTATAAATTATTATTATATGGTAAATATGATTTTTGAAAAGAACTGTAGAGAGAGTGTACAGTGCTTTTATGCCATCTAGTGGATAAACTGAGTCAGTGGTTTTATTACTTATCAAAAACTCCAAGATGTCTGGCCCTGCTATTTGGAGTGCTATCTGCTTTTGTTATAATTCATTCCAAAAAGAAGATAATTACAATAAAGTCTGAAAGAAGACATAAATTGTAACAGCATACATAAATCTTGTGCCCAAAGAGTTTCTAGAAAAGTCTAGTTAATATTCTTACACTAGCCGTTTTAAAGAATATGCCAAATCCTAAAGACAGAATTTTAACAATGTCTTGATAGTTATTATTTTTAACTCTCCATTCTCTCAATGGCCAAGAGGTTTACAGAATTAAATTATTCAACAAGAAAAAGGTTGCAAAATAAAGCAATCGGAACAAAAATATATAATTTAATATACAATGTCTGTGAGTGAAAATATACTCAGTGTTATAAAAGTACTCACACTGCCTGTGATACTGAAAGCCTTATTATGACTTATCACAAAATCACATTGTTATATTGCTTAACTCCCATAATGCACTGAGTGTTTTTTTTTTTTGATGACCATGGTTTGCTAAAATGCATTGTAATTAGAGCTCTTCCAGATTTTGTAAATACTTAAAAAAAAAAAAGTATAAAGTATAAAAAAAATAAGTATAAACTGGATCGACAGTGGTTGTAAAATATTTTTATTTTATTTTATTTTTCTCTGTTGATCCCACTGTTGTTTGGGGACTAGATTCCTGTAGCAAGTTGAACAATGAAAATTCTCACGAAAATGGGAGAAATATATGACAATGTTCAAATCTTTTTTTTTAATAGTAGTTATCCAACCTGCTACCTAAATCTAGCCAGAAAATGTTAGTTTGATCAATAGAGAAAAGAATTGGAAAGAAACCCAAGAACTCTGTGGCAAAATTGGAGAGTTGAAGAGTACTGTATGGCAATTTTAGGCCAAGTTAGACCAAACATTGTTGGTGTCTAAATATGCCATGTGATTCCACTGCAGTTTGCAGTATATGATATGTGATTATTTTTTATATCATTGGACTAAATATGGCATACAGCGTACAATCCTGTGCGTACCTTTTTAGGTTTTCTGCCACAGGAAAGTCTTCAGGGCAGTTCCCACACCAAGCCTCTCTTTTATCTCTCTGAAAAAAAGAGAGGCTTGGTGTGGGAACGACTGGTTATAGATGCTATAATGTAAATGATAACCGGAACTAACCTTCATGGGCGTTCCACATAACTAAATGCAACTATAAAAGGATAAAAAGTATAATGTGTTGTTCTTTAATAAATAAAAAAACATATTGGCAAATTGCTGTGGTGTAAGAGGAATGACGCCCTTCAGGTCATGCTATTATTATAGGAAAATAATCTGCCTTGCCTCAGTCTGCATCACAACACCCCATCCTTGATGACTTTCCCTTAACAGGATTTTTAAATCCTTCCTTAATCGCTCTCTGTAATATGTGTAACTTTGGTAGAAAATGCTTGCTCCTACAGTTGAGGCCAAAAGTTTACCTAAGCTAAAAACATTCAAAGTCAATTTACCATATATTTCCTCTGTAAAGTCAATAGGGCATCTATTTTATTTCCATAAAAGGTCATTTCAAAATAATAGACAAGAGACAGATTTATTTCAGCTCTTATTTAATATATAAGATTTACAGTGGGTCAAAACGTATATACAATTTTTTAGTATTTGGTGGCATTGCCTTTTAATTGTTTAGCTTGAATTAAATGCTTGCTAGAGCCTCGCACAAGCTTCTCACAATATGTTGTTGGAATTTTTGCCCCTTCCTCCTGACAGGTGTAACTGGTGTAACTCAGTAAGGGTTGTGGGATTCCTTGCTCAGACACACTTTTTCAGTTCGATCCACAAAATTTTCTATGGAATTCAGGCCAGGGCTTTGTGATGGCCACTCCAATTCTTTCAGTTTGTAATCTTTAAGCTATTTGGAGGCATGCTTAGGACCACTGTCCTGCTGGAAGACCCAGTTGCAACCAACTTTCTGCCTGATGTCTTGAGGTGGTGCTTCAGAATTTCTAGATAATCCTTCTTCTATTTTTTATTTTTTATTTTTTTTACTATTTTCTAAAGTGCACCAGCCCCTTTTCCAGCAAAATACCCCAAAAACATGATGCTGCCACCCCTATGCTTCACAGATGGGATGGTGACCAGAGAACACTCCTGCAAAAGGCTGGTGGTCTTGGAGTAGGAGCATTTTCCTTACATGACAGCCTTGCTGGCCATGATCAGCCTTGCAGGCCACTCTCTTGATAGTGGATGTACAGTCGGGTCCATAAGTATTTGGACAGTGACACAATTTTCGTAATTTTTGCCTCTGCACACCACCACAATGGATGTAAAACGATGCAATCAAGATGTGATTGAAGTGTAGACTTTCAGCTTTAATTGAAGGGGTTTAAAAAATTTTTGCATTAACCGTTTAGGAATTACAGCAATTTTTACAGAGTTCCTCCATTTTCACAGGCTCAAAAGTAATTGGACAAACCAACATAATTATATATATATATATATATATATATATATATATCTGGATTATTTTTAATACTTGGATGCAAATCCTTTGCAGTCAATGACTGCCTGAAGTCTGGAACCCATGGACATCATCAAATTCTCAGTTTCCTCTATTGAGATGCTTTGCCAGTCCTTTGCTGCAGCCACCTTCAGCTGCTGCTTGTTTGTGGGTCTTTCTACCTTCAGTTTTGTCTTCAGTAAGTGATAAGCATGCTCAATTGGGTTGAGGTCAGGTGACTGACTTGGCCATTTAAGAACATTTAATTTCTTTGCCTTAAGAAGCTCTTGGGTTGCTTTTGTGGTACGTTTTGGGTCATTATCCATCTGTACTGTGAAATGAACTCCTATCAGTTTTGCAGGATGTGACTGAATCTGAGCAGAAAGTATAGATCTATACACTTCAGAATTCATCCTGCTACTTCTATCAGCAGTCACATCATCAATAAACACCAATGACCCAGTTCCATTGGCAGCCATAAATGCCCATGCCATAACACTTCCTCCACCATGTATGAAAGATGATGTGGTAT